AACTTTTTAATTAGTTTATTTTCGTTAATTGTTTTTGTTCTCGTTGTTAATTGTTGTTTGCGTATTCCTTGTTATTAATTGTTTTTGTTATTTCTTGTTTTTAATTATTTTTGTTGTTATAATTTGAGTGTTCAGATTTTGGTCTAAATATGCAGAGAAGGAAGAATTAGGTGTTAATTATAAAAGTGTTTAGTTATATGAAAAAATTAGGTACTGCGAAAAACATCATAGACGTATATAAACGGACTTCTGACGCGACTAATGTCTCAGTAGCTACTGTACGGCGCACCGCAACACCAGATTCTATGGAAGGCATATCACCTCTTCCTTTTTCTTAATAAAATAATCAATTCTAACCACCAAGCATACATTAAATACTTTATAGTAGATAATAAAATAACGGACATGAATATCTGTAACATTACTGTATCAAAGTAAAAGTTGATGTGTTTGAGTAAACATTTTCATAAAAGTCGGCGAAAATATTCAATTACGAATTGAAATAATAAAGGTACCCAATAATTTTGCCCGACAGTGTACCTACCTCCCACCACAGTTTATCTGTGCTCACGACTCGTGTCGGCAACTATATTTTCATATTTCATTACATTATAAATCATAGTTGTTAGTATGTTCTTGTAGTCATCATGAATTGTTTGACTTACAGCTTTGGTTTGAAAATAATCAGATTTACTCAATTCCATATTGTTAATTTTAATTATCTTAAAACATAATCATCATACCTGTTGCATATTTTACATTTAATCAGGCACTGGGTCTATGCCTTATTTTAATTAAGAGTAATTGCAAGTTATTTTATCTTAGTTTCCAAAATTTATAAGAAGTTTAAATAAATTCCACAAAAACAATGTTTTAATCATAAACAACATTATTTTGTGGAACCTCTTATATTCATTTAATAAAGCAAGAATTCTATAATCGTTTATAAAATGATTTTTTAATATTTAACAGTCTCCCTGTCCGCAAAACAAATGTAGTTTTATTAACATTAACTATAAAGTAAATATCTAAATTTTGAAAACTAACTAATATTATATATGTCAAAATATGCTTATTATGTAACTATGAGCATCAGAAATCACTTCTTCCAAAAGAACTGCTGTTTATATATGCTTGTAACAAACATTGCTTGTTGTACAAATGTAACAAAACTAGAAACTTACAGCAGGAAAAATGGTTGGCACTGCATCATCACAAAGCCTAACTACATCAAGAGTTTTTGGCAACCTAAAAATGATAGAACAGAAAATAATGATTTAGATATATGAAGCTGTAAATAATATTACAAATTAAACAACAGCGTGAGTATTATACAAGGTCACTTAGAGATAAAAAATATATCACTCATCAAATGGATCACTCATTTGGTTCCTAAAGATGAGGGTGCCACAGACCTGAGAAAATACCGCCCCATCACGTGTCTACCGACCATATACAAGACACTAACATCCATTTTGAACGCGAGAATCGCTCGTCACCTGGACTTAAAATCAGGTGATGTCGCGCACTCAAAATGGATGTCGGGGCGGCGGTCGGCGGAACCAAGTAACCACTCCTCATTGACGCGATCATTGGCAAAGTGGTGAAACGCAACCGTCGGAACTTCTCCGCCGCCTGGATAGATTACAGAAAGGCATTTGACTCGGTGCCCCATACATGGCTAAAGAGGGTCCTCGAGCTGTACAAGATTGACTGTACAGTTCAAGACATCCTCGAGCAGTGTATGGGGCAGTGGAGTACGATCCTCTGTCATCTAGGCGAGCGGATGACGGCTGCGGAAAGCCGGATAAGGATAAGAAGGGGTATCTTCCAGGGCGACTGTCTGAGTCCAATCTGGTTCTCTGCCTCTCTTTGAACCCTTTCAGTACTTTACTGGAGAGCTCCGGGAGGGGATTTCAGCTTCGGAAAGGAGGTACAAAAGTGACCCACCTTTTCTATATGGATGACCTCAAATTATTCGTCTCCAGTCGCTCCCATCTTATTTTATTTATTTATTTCACAATTTATGTACACACACGTTAGGGAGAGGACACATCATAATAAAAAGTTTGTACAAAGGCTCTACTTATCTCACAATGAAATTTCTTCCAGTAGGCCAGTTTCAAACACATATGATTACTAAATGATTATAAGGTGTGCACTTTGTTATTTTACTACACATATGGGTGTAAGATAAATATATACGTCAACTCAAATACTTTATATATATATATATATATATATATATATATATATATATATATATATATATACATACATATATATATACACATATACATATACATACAAATACATGAATATATTCATATTTAAACATTAATACATACATAAATACTAAATATAATATAAAGTCAGCCTCTCGGGTCATCTGAGGCGACTGGGACTCCGTGACGGACCGCTCCGGGCTCAAATGCAGAAGGCGGTGCTCCTCGATACCGCCCGCATCGTCCGCCGGTTTCTTTCCCTTTGCCCCTAACCCTCGGCCGTTTGGTCTCCCCTGCCGAGGGCTCCCATCTGGTTGGATCTTATTTATTTATGTAGTTTTTGTATTTATTTTATTTTATTGATATTTATGTATATTTATCTTTTCATTTTAATTTATAATTATATATTTATAGCACCCAACCAGGTGAGAAAATTATATAGATACCCCATAATAATAATAAAAATGGCGTAGGGAAGTGACGACCGCATCGCCCGTTGATGTGACGGTTATGTGACAAAACCGCTACGTCCGCGCAGTCAGTCAGCACCTTGCCAAGAGGTGTGAGCGCCGTGCCTCGGCAAAAATTGATGGTGCAAGGGCCCGCTTGTGCATATGGCCTCACCATGAAACGGCGCCGGGTCTGGGCGTCTCCCGTTAAATGACGCCCTGTATGGATGATGGAACAAAGAAGATTGCGCAAAGGGCCGCTGCCTGGAGGTCGCCAGGGCGCGTCTGGAGCTGGCGCTGGACGACAGCATGCGAACTGCCAGCCGAGCGCGAGGTGCTGCACAACCACCCAGCAGCCCCTCGCATCCATCATCTCCACCAGCTTGCTTGGTGTCGGCAGGGTCTTCGCAGACCCAGCAATCGGCACCCGCCACTGGTGGAGTACGCCGCATGCGATGGACCATCAATATGAATACAAACGCATTGCGGGCGTATTTTAGGGCGAAAGGGGGAGAAATTGGAGGTTTCGCGTATCGGGCTAGGATGCATCGTCTTTTTACTCAACTGGAGCCATCTATTACTGTCACCGAGCAAAACCTGGCAGACCGAGTTCGGTATATCTTACGCTCAAATATATTTGATGGCGCAGAACTCGAACGGCTACGACGTGAGGCTGTTCCCTCATCAAATGAAAACGCTACGACTGAGGGTGCGGTGCCACAAGTTGCAGAACAACCCGCACACGTGGATGCCGCCGTGAATACCCCAGTGGTTGCTGATTCAAATGATGATGGAACATTCACCCAGGAACTAGAAATAGAGCAAATGAGGAGTACATTGGAAGAGGCGATTGTGGAAACGCGCAGTACACCTCCCGAAAATCGACCGCGACTTCCCCGCATAGCCCTAAGCAAGCGGAATCGCGCTGTCGTGATGGCTCTGAACCCAATGCTGGTGACCTATTTGGAAGCCAGCCGGGACCTTTGCGAGACGGACTCAATTCTCTTTGGCACCGCACTGGCAGTCTGCCGTATTATAGGCGCCAAACTTTCCACGGTTGGACGCACTACTGAACAAAGTAGTGCTATCCCAGCCTGGAGAACAAGAATTGAAGAACGTATCGCAAAGGCTAGGGCCCTCATCGGCAGACTGATATGCTTCAGGTCAGGCAATACCAGGCCAAGGATTGTGCGCACCGTCAGGATGGCGTTTGCTTGTTAGTTTTGCCGGATATAATGCAAAAACTGACGGAGCGCATAGACGACCTGAATCAGAGAATCTCTGCTTGGGGAAAGCGAATTCGGCGATATACCGAGAGGTCGACACGGTTCAACCCGAATCGTTTCTCCCAGAGTGATCAGAAGAGGCTCTATAAATCATTGGAGCGCCCAATGGTAAGTGGAACGGGCCCAGTACCGAATCAGGCCGACACGGTCGCATTCTGGCGCAGCCTGTGGTCAGAGCCCGTAAATCACAACGAGGGCCCTTGAACGGAAGTTGTGGCGAGTCAGTGTGCGGGTATTACGCCCATGGACCCCGTCACCATAACGCCGAATGACGTAGCTGAGGCGGTCCGTAGGGCCCCGAACTAGAAAAGTCCGGGACTCGACGGGCTGCATCACTACTGGCTGAAGGGATTCGTGGTGTGTCACACTATGCTCGCCCGACAGTTTCAAGAGGTTCTCAACCAGAAGTCGCTACCGAGCCTCTTCACTACTGAGTGACGAGTACTTCACGAACGACTACTCAAGCCAGCATATCGCTGACATCCATTTCGTATATGGATTGTGTAACGGGAGTGCAAATAGAGCTGTTGTAGAGTATGCACGCAGATTTCCTAACGGAAGTACGCCAAATGCTCGCACTTTCGTGAGAATTCATTTGAGACTTACGGAAAATGGAATAAGAAGGCTCGGTAACGAACGTACTCGTGTTTTGTCGCTCCAAGATGAACATCAAATATTGCAAATGATTACTCAAGACCCTAGCCTGAGCATTAGACGCATAGCTAATCGTCTCAGTCTATCAAAATGGTCGGTGTGGAAAATTTTAAAAAGAGAAGGATTACATCCTTACCATTTTCGAAGGGTGCAAGAAATACTGGAACCGGATTATGTAAGAAGAGCAATATTTTGTTCGTGGATATTGAGAGAAACGCGATATGATCCAAACTTTTAAAAAAAGAATTATGTGGACAGACGAAGCTACTTTCACGCGATCAGGGTATACGAACTACCGTAACGAACACCTGTGGCTTCAAGAAAATCCACATGCGATCCGCCCAAGTTCTTTTCAATATAAATTTTCTGTCAACGTTTGAGCCGCAATGATTGACGATATTCTAATTGGACCAATCATTTTACCGGAGACAATGAATAGCCCAAGATTCCTAAATTTCCTGGAAACGAATTTTTTGGATGCTTTATTGGAGTTACCATTGGCCTACAGGGCCAGAATGATTCTGCAATTGGATGGTGCTCCGGCACACTTCGCGCTTCTTGTGCGGAATCATTTAAATGCACACTATTCGTCGTGGATCGGACGCGGAGGAACAATTGCTTGGCCACCGCGGTCGCCGGATTTAACACCTCTCGATTTTTTTTTGTGGGGCACACTCAAACGAAAAGTGTATGTAAATGTGCCAAATACACGAGAGGAGTTAGCAGAAAAAATAATTCAAGCAGCAAACGAATTGCGAGAATACAAGGCAATGATCCAGCGCTCTACGCAACACGTTGCACTAAGAGCAACAGCATGTCTGCAGAGACAAGGAGGTCACTTTGAGCAGTTTTTGTAATTATTTTGCCAAATTAAATGCAATTGATATAAATTATTTTGTTTTATTTCATTTGATAGTGTATCCGCGCTTTTCAAGTAAGTATGTTTACACTGTCATAGCTCCTAAACTAACTCAGAGTTAAGATTTAAATGTGCATTTATAGCAAATATCCTGTATTGTAATAAAAACAAGTAAAAAAAATTGGTTAACACGATGGTTTTTTTTAAAGCTAAGAATCTGAAAAACAACATCAATTTGTTGTTTAATTTATTTTTTCAAAAATGTTTTTTACTAATACTGAAAAATTAAAAAATAATATTTTGAATCTAGATTTATTGTCTACACTATTAACTAACATTTGAGATCAATTTTGTTTTTAAAAGTCTTCTACTTGGGTAGATATTGTTAAATTAATACAAGCATCTATGCTTCGCCAACAATTTTTTTTAAAGTGCTGCCATTTTTTTATTGATGGCGAAAAAATCATTGATCCCTGATTTGTCGATAAAATTAATTGTATTTTAACCCCTTAAAGTATCGGACATCGGAAACCGGACACATTGTATAATAGAATACAATATTCTTTATTGCATATAAGAAAAAGACAAAGATACAGAGAGAACATAAACAATTAAAGAATGTATGAGAGGCGGCCTGGTATATGGTGCAAGTGTTGATTATTTAATCTACAAAATGAATGATTTATTGACTATTGTCTTGCCTATTGACTAAGAGAATACCAAACCCTGTATTTATTTTTTACAGGAACACTTCTCATCGCAATACAACTATTCTAGCGTCGAACAAGACCCACCAACCCCAGGCCGATCTGATGTCGAAAGAGAAACACCAACCCCAGGCCGATCTGATGTCGAAATAGATACACCGACGCCAGGCCGATTTGATGTCGACTGTGATACACCAACCCCAGGCCGATCTGATGTCGAAAAAGATACACCAACACCAGGCCGATCTGATTCTGAAAGACGCACGCTACGACCAAATCGTTTAAAATCCACGAAGAATGCGTATGAAGAGGCACTTCGAAATGTGAATGAGCATTTTAAACGTCCGAGGTTTCCGGGAAATCGTTTTGAAGTATATGGACGAAGTGTAGGCATGAAATTACAAGAATTACCAAAACAGTAGCGAATCATAGCGAAGAAAATTATTAATGAGACATTGCTCTTAGCCGAAATGGGTGATTTAACTACCTCACATATTGTCAAAACCAGAGATTTTACTAACACATTTTTTCCCCCTCAGCCAGACATTCAAACATCATATAATCAACTATGCACATAAACCTTTTCCACTCAGCCAGACATTAAAGCATCATCTAATCAACCAAACGTTCAAACTGTCATGATTCTCTACGGCTGCTTCATTTATAAATAGTTTTGGTGTTGATTGATTTGTATTGTATATTAAGATTGTATTTATTCACTCTTGAATCATAATTTTCGATCACTATTTCATTTTTATAATTTAATTAATAAAAACTACATACGATCACAATTGTGTTTCTTCATAGCATCAATATTATCTTAAATGTTATCTAATAGGTATGTATGTAGTTCCTTAGATAATACATAGGTGAATCTCCTTCCAAAAAGTTATGTTACTTTGTCATTAAATTGAAGAAAAGCTTTTGCAGCGAGTTTTACCTCTTTAAAAAATCTTTACCATTTTATTTAGGGAACTGCCAGAAATTTTTAACTTTATTCAAAAGATATAAGCAAAAAACCAAAGATTTAGCAAATTAAACAGATTTCGGTATTACTTATAATATTTTTATATATTACTAGCTGTACCCCGCGGTTTCACCCGCGTATATCACGCGTCTCTGCCGCGCGACATGATATGACACCTCGCTCATTTAGTTCAATCATTTTAGCTAAAAAATTAGCAAAATTAATGTAGTACTTTTATCTCAATCAATCAATTTATTTTTTGACATAGACTCCCCTCCCACACCCCAGTGACACCCGCATCGCATGGTGCTGGCTGTGTAAGTGATATAAGGATTTTTCGACGTTACTATTGAATATTTTAACATGGAAAAGTGGTTATTGTGATATCACTATAATAGTTAGACATATGGTATTGCAGACTTTTATGTAGATATTGATGTCCTCCATAAAACTTTAGCACATCACTTTGCTCTATTGTCAATAGTTTCCGCAGCGTACGCGATATAAGGTATTTTTTTTTTTGGTATTTTGTTCACACCTTGTTACATTAACGAAGTTTTCATACGGATCCCTAAATTTTTTGAAAACTTTCTATCGCCTATGTTTATCAGGAATAATGTAGGATTCTAATGTTGAAAGAATTTTTCAAATCGGTTCGGTAGTTTCAGAGCCTATTCAATTCAAACAAACAAACAAATCTTTCCTCTTTATAATATTAGTATAGATGCAAAACTTACCTTTAAGTAATCTTTCTGTAGAACTTTGTACAAAGCATCACAAGTTTCTAGAATAATTTGACTGAGAGCCTGTTTTGATATTAACGTAGAAAACTTCATACATTCGTACGAGCGACCTGTAGCTAAAAACCTCAGAGTTGCAGACAATCTTTCATGAGAACTTATTGCTTCTCTCATCACGGTATTGCTTTTTTGTATTAGCGGTGTAACTAAAAACAGGAGATGTAAGTCTCTTCATTCATCCTCAAATAATTGTGCCAATCTTTTGGGGAAAATTTCAACTCGTTTAATAAATTTATGTGAGAGTATGACTTTCTTTTAAGAAGCCAATCCTTACACCACACTCTACGTGATTTTCTTTTCTTTTTGCACAAAACAAGCCAGGCTAGCGCAAGCGCTTCATCGTCTTCCATCACGAATGACGTGTTTTTCTTCTGAGTTTCTGCCGAGAACTGACGATGACGATCGACGCAGATATAGTAGACGTGTGGACGCACTACGGACGTTCGATAAACTGCGCAAACGAACTGCACAGTTACAGTACTTATCGTTGCCCTGTATACCGGGCTTAAATTATACTGAATTAGTAAATTCACTAATCAATTTCATAAAAAAAGTTGTAAAATTTTATAATAATAAATATCAAACAACTTTTATCAGCAAATCTCGAACTTAAAATGGTGAAATCGGCCGCAAGGCGGGATTAAATGACGTCATCGTAAAAATGTTTACTGGTACACGAAACAATTTCTATCGTCTATTTCTTTTATTAATGACACTTTTAGCTGAGTTAAAAAGAGACAGGCAGCGTATTGATAATTCAATGTCGAATTTAACCATATTTGTATAACCAATAAATCATATAGACGCTCTGGGCCTCTGGGCAGCTCCTCTATTTTCTATACTCAAAGTGTCAACCAAAGAAATACGGAGTTTTGGCGGGAACTTGGCCGTAGAAGGATTGTCGCTTGAATAATGGTTTGAAGTGGATTTTGATTTGTAAGTGATGCGATTTTGTGAATTAAGTGTCCGCGCGTGTGAACCATTAGAGAAAACGACGAAACAAGTGCTTTGATGTCGATATAAACCTCAAGTAATTTTGATCGCTTGGGCGCCCTATGAACTTGAGCGGCAGTCGTCATCAACTGTCCGCTAGGTTGAGCTGTCGTCAAAATCTGCCAAGGGCTTTGCAATGTGACGCATCAGCATATTGTGAAGAAAAAGAACATAAAATAGAGATTCAAAAGTCTCACTCAAAGAAAGGATAGGCTCAGAAGGTCTAGAAACCAGAGCCGTAAAGCCAGTTAATAAAGAAGAAACTAAAGAAATACGAGTTTTGGCGGGAACTCGGCCGTAGATGGATCGTCGCTCCTGTTTTGTCGCTTGAATAATGGTTTAAGTGGATTTTGATTCGTAAAAGTGATGCGATTTTGTGAATTAAGTGTCCGCCCGTGTGAACTATTTGAGAAAACGACGAAACAAGTGCTTTGCTGTCGATATAAACCTCAAGTTATTTTGATCGCTTGGGCGCCTCATGAACTTGAGTGGCTGTCGTCATCAACTCTCGCTAGGTTGAGCTGTCATCAAAATCTTGCAAGGGCTTCGCAATGTGATGCATCGGCATATTGTGAAGAAAAAGAACATAAAATGAAGATTCCAAAAGAAAGGATAGGATCAGAAGGTCTAGAAACCAGAGCCGTAAAGCCAGTTAATAAAAAAAAACCAAAGAAATACCTTTTGATAGCTGTCAGACTTATTGCACCAAGCCTTTGAGTATTAAACCAAAGGAGACGGCATCGCAAGGCATACCCCTCTGTAAAAGGTACGAGAGTCCGACTCATACTCGTTATATAAAACTAGTTGCTCCGCGTCGTGCGTCATTTCGAAGTGATCGTGCCAGTTAATCGAGCTCCGACAAAATGCCGAATTGCAGTGTATTTACATGAAAAAAAAACAATCAAAAACGTCAAGTACACAAAAAGACAATGTGACTTTTCATCTGTGAGTATTTTTAACATAATATTAAAGAAATTTTATCATTAAAACTCTTACTTATATTACAGTGGTAGAGCCACGCGGCAGCTTTGCTGTTGCACGTATGGGCCGGTTCAAACCGGGGTGGTACCACGACCTCACAGAATACCGGCGTGAAGTGGAAGCTCTGCTTCCGCGTTTCGTCTGGTGAGTGCAGGTGGCCGGAGGCCCAAATCCCCCCCCCCATCAACATGTTAGCGGAATTAAATGATGATAGACTACCCCAGGAGGGTGCTGGTACCCTCCTGGGGTAGTGGCCTATTACCCTTTATTATAAGTACCCCTGGAGAATCCCTCGCTGAGCATCCACGACCATGTTTCTCCACTTCTGAGCGTGGGTGCTCAGGCTGCCCCGCGTATTCTGGGGGGGGGGGGGCAAAATTCCGCTCAAGACTACAACTACTCGGGGCAAACGGAGCAACAAGACCAAGGCGACCCCTGCCACGCTGTCCGTGAATTTCTGCAATATCAGGGGACTTCACTCTAACCTAAACGCCGTCCACTACCATCTCGAGACGGTGAGGCCGGCTCTGCTCTTTCTGACCGAGACGCAGGTGTCCTCTCCGGCTGATGTCTCGTATCTCTCCTGCCAGGGGTACAAACTGGAACACTCCTTTGTGCCTCGGGCTGGAGTTTGCGTTTACGTCAGAGAGGACATCTGTTCTCGACGCCTCAGCAGACTTGAAGGTTCGGACCTGTCCATCCTTTGGCTACGCGTAGACAGCGACGACCATCCGCGCGTCTACGGGTGCCTCTATAGGTCCCATAGCGGTAATGCCGAAACAGACCGACTCTTCGACCACGTCAAAATGGCTGCAGATTCGTTGCTACAGCAGATCTCCTCCGCAGAGATCGTGATCCTCGGCGACTTTAACGCCCATCACGCCGAATGGCTTGGTTCACGTTTAACCGATCATGCGGGGAGATCTGTTCATGATTTTGCCTTGGCATATGGTCTGACACAACTGGTTACTTCGCCTACGCGGATTCCAGATGTGGAGGATCATGCACCTTCCCTGTTGGACCTTCTGCTGACCTCTCACCCGGACGGATATCAGATTTCCGTCGACGCCCCTTTAGGCTCCTCGGACCATTGTCTGGTCCGGAGTGTTGTACCAGTCACGTTGAAATCGCGGTTGCATTCTGCAGGCTGCCGCCGTGTTTGGCACTATAGGTCAGCCGATTGGGATGGGATGCGGTCTTTCTTTGCATCCTACCCTTGGGGGCGGGTTTGCTTCTCGCCGGATGATCCCAACGTTGTTGCGGATTCTGTTGCTGATGTGGTACTTCAGGGTATGGAACTTTTTATTCCTTCCTCTGTGGTGCCCATTGGAGGCAAATTTCAGCCATGGTTTGGTCGCTCCTGTAAAATAGCATCATGCTATAAGCAGGAGTGCTACCAGGCCTGGGCTGATGCATCAGCGTCCCGGGATGTAAACACCAGCGCTCTAAAAAAGAAGTATAATTCCGCTCTAGGTCCTTCAAAAGAGTCATTGCCAAGGCAAAGTCAGAGCACATAGGCAGAATTGGCGAGAAACTAGTTCGCCTTCCTTCTGGAACCCGTGCATTCTGGTCTCTCGCCAAGGCTGTCCAGGGGAATTTCTGTCAGCCATCTCTGCACAGGGAGGACGACTCACTGGCCCATACCGCAAAGGAGAAAGCCGATCTTCTAGGCTCTTTCTTT